GTGTGGTGTGTTGTGGGTGCTGCTTGTGTTAGCCTTGGAAGTCATTTATAGCTGTGTGTCACCTGTGGATGAGCGTATGTGTGTTTGATTGTTTTACCTCACACACACACACACACACATGACTGATTTGTTTATGTTGCACACATATGTATCTCTCTGAACCACTAATACACTTCATACAGAACATGTGGAACTGTATCCATGGACATATCACGTCAGCAGTGTTACTGAAAGGCTCTACGGAGCTACGTCCACACTGACAGGTTTTAGTTTTAATACTCCTCTGCTACTTTTCTCCCGGCATCCACACGGCTCCAGAGTTTCTTCAAGTGGCTAAAACTTTGGGATAACGCTGCGGACTGTTTTAGTTTGAAAACTCTGGCACTATTGTATCTGGATGGCACAGAAACTGAGAGACCTTTGGAAACACAATGACGTACACATCCACGGTCGCTCCTTGGTCGGACCTTGTCTTCCCTTTGAGAGAAACAGGTGTGCCCAGAAAGCAAAAAGGAAATATTAGCCATGTTCTGTCATGTGAATTCAGTGTAATGCTGGCGTTACAGTGTGAACTAAACGCCACTCCAAGTTCTTCATTCCTTCTGCTATCAGGCTACTAAACGCAGACACTTGTCATTTTAAATGACTGCATTTAAAATTTAGAATTCACTCATTCATGCATATTATTTATTCATGATAGGAACTGTAAGATAATGTTTTTTTAATTTGTTTTAATTTGTTTTATTTTTATCAGTCTTACTTATGCTGCTTGTTGTTCCTTGTATTGACCCACGTATGTTGATCTGTTGCCTCTGCATTGACTACTTTGCCTGTGAGTTTTGAGGTTGTATGAATGGACTTGGTAAACTGCAAAGGAATTGCCTTTCTTGGGATTAATAAAGTCGTTCTGAATCTGAATCTCATCAGCCTGGACTATCAGTGGTGATCAGTGTTACTGACCATGTTGTCTTTGCTAGCAGCTGTTGTTCAGTTTAATTCTGCATTTTAACACTGCAGCTGTTTTACTGTTCCTCATTCAGAGTATTTTTGCAATTAATCAACTGTAGAGTAGATCTGCTTCCTGTTACACCGGCTCACACATGCCCAGTGTACGTGAATGGTCATGGTGTTTTCAGGTGGGTAGTATGGAGGGAGATCGTTTCTGATACGGAGCTAAAACACTCGTCAGAAGATCGTTAGTGTGGACATAGTTTCTGTTTAGGTGCTGAAAAAACTCCAGAGAGTAGCATGGACACAGGAGTAAAGTAGCAAAAGTCATGGTTTTAAAACTAAAACCAATTAGTGTGGATGTAGCCTCAGTCACTGACTCAAGTCGCTCCATCAATATGTAATAATCCTCAGTAGTTCCTAGGTCATAGGTATAAGTGTTAGAAAATATTGAACATGTTTTTATTTCCCTTCTTTCTGACAAGAGACGCTCAGATGATCCTCATCATCCTCACCTCTGCATCTCAGCACAGAGATGGATCAGGATGTGGTTAGCTTAGCTTAGCATAAATGGAAAGCAGGGGGAAATCAGCTAGTCTCGTGCTCCGTTGATTAAATAAAAAAAAACACATCTAAAGCTCATTAATTAGTATGATTGTAAATACACAAACCTGACAGCCTCAGTCTGGGAAAAGAGGTGTGAACCTCCAGAAAGACTCTTTACTCTGTCTTTACCCACAGAAACTGCTGGAGAGCTGGAGACGGAGCGCTCAACCCAATGGAGGAGGGAAAGGAGAAGGAGAGAGGCATCATGGACGTGAGCAAGAGGACGAGGGCAAGAGCGAAGGACAACCAGCCGACATGATACCCAGAATTCCACGACAGAGAAAGAGGAGAACCGTTGTGGCGGTGTGTGGCGATGTGGAGGAGAAGGGGAAGGAGAAGGGAAATGGAGGAGGGGGAGATGAAAGAAACGAGATGGAGCTGGAGGCGGAGGTGAAGGTAGAAGCTGAGCCAGGTCTGTGCCGCGGCCAGCAGATGAGCTTCATCCAGGGCACTGACACCTGTTCGGCTACGTCTCGTGGCATCGAGGCATTTCCGTGGACCAGATGCGGCGCAAGACACATGAAGCCGCGGTTCGAGTTCAACATCAATGGTGGTCGGTGAGTCTCAGCCACTTAAACACTAACACAGACCCTCACAATAATAAATAAATAATGAAATAATTATTATATTATCATTACTACACTGTTGTGTGCTTTGTGAGCCACACACACACACACACACACACACACACACACCACACATACAAAAGGACACTGGCCATGTTCAGACCTTAACATCCGTCTCAGGTGATCAGATGTTTTTGATTTGATTTTTTTTTTTTTTTTTTATTTGCAAAACTATAAACATTACAAACTATATTGTATATAGTTTTTTTAAGGAGAGATATGTGCAGGTGAGGCAAGAAATAAACCCAAGAAAGAGAGCTTATTAATGCTTCTTTTTAACTTCCTTTTAAATTCAGATAGCGGAGGGTGAGGTGTGTGAAGTGTAAAATGTTGTTTTACACCTTTATATTTCACAAGTTCAGGTGTGAACGCACCAAAGACGCAGGAGGACAGATTTGAGATCCGATCACTCAGACCACATTCAGAGGAGGTGCTCTGGACCACATGTGGCCACATTTTCAGCAGTGTGAATGTGAATGTGTCCTTGGGCCACACTGAAGGAGCAGCTACTCTACTGACGTCCTCTGCTACAGTCTGATTAGTCCCAACACAGTTTAGAATGAAAGGAATATTTTTACTATTTCAAATGGATATAAAACTTGATTTCACTGTAGAGCTGCACAGAGCAATGATTTGCTCTCAACCCCTCCATACTGCTCTCTATCTCTCTCTCACTTGCTCTCACTCTCACACACACACACACAAGCACACACACACACACACACACACACAACAAGCACATTGACAAGGGACCTGTCTGGCTTAAAAACAACACATACCTGTTCATTTGCATATAAATCAGGAAGTGAGATCTGATCACAAATGGTCAGTTGAAGATGCATTTTAAACCAGGTGTGAACCTTTTCTGTAAATAAAGATGGACGTAGCCTCTGTGACGTCACTCACACGTTTCTGAAGAGCAGTTTTGAAGCTCAGAGTGAGCTGCTCCATCCTTGCCATCTTGGCAGTGCCTGACTCCGCCCCTAACTCCCAGCTACCCAAAACTGGACAAAGAGGTGGGGTGGGGTTTAAGCAGGTGAAAGATTTTACTTTATACTTTTGACCTAATTTATTTTTCTGTTTGACACCACCTTGTGATCACCTCTTCATCGGAGCACAGTGAAGCTTCTCACTTCATTCACCTGCCCCTGTGCCAGTTCACACACATACACACACACACGCACACACACACACTATAAACCTAACTGCTCTCTCATGCATCTTTCCTTTGTGTGTGTGTGTGTTGTGTGTGTGTGTGTGTGTCTGTTGTGTGTGTGTGTGTGTGTGTGTGTGTGTGTGTGTGTGTGTGTGTGTGTGTGAGCCAAAACATTGCTAAAATGTTCTTTCTTACTGATTCACAACCAGCCACCCTGCTTGTTGTCTTTGACCAATCACAGAGCTCTTCAGTGAGGTCAACTCCTCTGAACCAATCAGCAGAGCTCTCTCACGGTGCATAGGCCTTTCATTTGACCAATGGCAAGCTCACACGATGTGACCACCAGGTCACCGGGATGTCACAGTGTGCTCTCTGATCAGCTCTGTGGTTCACTTTTTCACAACCAAACTGTCTGTGTGTGGTGTGTGTGTGTGTGTGTGTGTGTGTGGTGCGTGTGCGTGTGTGGTTGTGTGGTTGTGGTTCGTGCTGCGTGGTGTGGTGAGTTCGTGGTGCGTGGTGTGGCTGCGTGTGTGTGGGCATCTGTTGAGCCGATTATTCATATTACAAGAGAGTATTAGTGGGGGGGGAGAGTGGTTTGAGAGTCGGGCTGTCTCCCTCTTTCCTGCCACACAGAAGAAAACAGGAAGTTTAGCATTGATCATTATTTTTAATTCAAAGTATGCACATTTCTTTTACCTGTTTACGCTAACTTTATTACAAATGAGGTCAGTGAATTTCAATAGGTGTGTGCTTGTGTCATCTATCAGTGACATGTTAAGGCGTACAGGTGGAGAGAGAGAGGGTCTCCTTATAAGATGCTTTTTAACTATTATGTCAGCATGGAGAAAAGACAATAGCAGCATACAACTGTTAAACTTTGAGAAGTTTACCATTTCAGTCAGTCAGCTGATGTAGAAATCTCTGTTTATATGATGGTGCAGCAAAGACGTAAAGACCTCATCACTTAAATCTGTGTTATTTCTTTTGGCACTCTTGCCCGGCAACAGTCAGAGCCAGAGGCATTATGTTTTCATGTTGTCTATCCATTACTTGTGTGTATATAGTACACATATATATAATATATATATATTATATATATAATTATTATATATACTAGTTCACTATATAGGGAGTTTAGGTGTATCTACGATTTTGTAGAGTTGTCCGTATGTTTGGTGAGAATTATCATACCCTATATATTGGACTCATAGTATCCCACAACACATCATGAAAAGTGGTGTACAACGATTGGTCACATACAAGTCAAACTATACCATCACACAGGCCTCAAGAACAAACACATACTACATCTGGAGACCATGCAGTTAAAATTCTTATTCCGGTATTGACACTAATTGATGGAGCAGGTGCACACTCTGACACACACGTGGCGTAGGTTAACAGTACCGGTGTTGTTGTCTGCAGGTCAGAGCGGTTTGGGAGTCCACACTGGTCAACAGCATTCTTGTCTCAATGCGTGCGTCGGCAAGAGTCCA